GAGGCAAGAGGTACGTGGCATGGACCCACGTATTCAAGGCATAATTACATTGGGTTTAGAAAATCGTGCGCGTTGCCCTCTTAAATGGTGAAACTCTTAACTTAAATATTCAACTTCAAAAAATAAGGTAAAGGAGTGATATTGATTAAAAAACACTTATAATCCACTTACCTTCTCATATTTTGATAAAATAAAAAAAACAGAATATAAAGATATGACATAATAAGCTTTTGGTTAACATCTTTTTAGTGTTAATATAATTATTATTAATTTTGTTTTTCTATTGGTTTTGATAATAAAAACGTTATAGAACTAAATTTTTTATATCACAATTAGGTTTTTTTACTATTAATTATTATTAAATAATTATTTATTTTTAACCTCATGTATTTATACTCATGAATTATCTTTTCCCTTTAAAACTCACGACTTGCATCTAATAGGATACTTACCATCATCATAGATGATTAATAGTCTTTTAACACGTTATATCTATAATAAACTATATTTTTTATTAATTGTTTTTTTTAGTTTATCTTTTTATTTGTTGGTCTGTTTAAGATTTAAGATAGACCTTTCTTTATAAAAAATATCTTTATCTTATCAAACTAAAACTTAATCATTTTAAAACTTAAATTTTAATGGTGTATTTATTTTTATTTTATATCTTTAAAACTTAGAAATATACTTTACAATGTAATTTTATACTCTTAAATATTAAAGTCTATAATTAATTCATAACATTTTATTTTTTTTCAATTCATTTTATTTAATATCAGGAATATACATTAAATTATAAAATTCAAATTTCAATTATTAATTAAACAAATGAATTTTTGTAGTGCTTTTAAAATTTTGACCAAATCTTAATGGATAATCATAAATTTATCATACTCATTAATTGATTTTGTATTTCTTAAAGTATAATAAAAATACAATTTAATTTGTTTTAAAATATACATGAATTTTTTTAGAATTTAGCCATATATAACTTAAAATAAAGTTGTATCTTTTCAAAGAAAAAGTTTTGTTGTTTTTGCTTAAGGAAACAAGTTTATTTAATATTTTAAAAAATATCTAAAATGTAGGTCATAATTCTAAAATATTAAATATAAAAGGATAAAAATAAAGTGAAGAACTTGAAATTAATTGTTGATGATCGTCTTAAAATTTTAAAAATGATTTAAAATAGACTAAGATTATAATTGATAAAAAAAAGATTAAAAATTTTATTGGAGTGTGTTTGCCAAGCAAATCTTAAGATAAAAAAATTATTTTTTAATGAATTTTAATCTGGCCAAAGAACTTAAACTTTTAAAGGCTCAACCCAATTGCCTGGACTTACTATATAGCCTAAAAAAACAAAATAAAATGAAGCACACTTTACTTAAAAAGAATATAATTATAATTATTTTTTAAAATATTTTTTATTTTAAAATATATTAAAATAATATTATTTTTAATTTTTAAAAATTATTTTTAACATCAATATATTAAATACTATCAAAATATCAAAAAAATGTTAATTTAAAACAAATAAAAAATAAAAAATCTTTAATTTTTTTAAAATTTATGAAAAAAATAAACGAGATACTGAAGACAAAAAAAAAAAACACAACTCATGGTCCAATTGTTTTTTATTTTATTTTAAATGAATTTGAAAGGGCCTGAACCATAAACATAAAGCTAAAACAAGATTTATCTTTTGTTTTAAAAAACGAGACACCATGTCCAGCATCCCTTTTCTTCACAAACCAGAATTTATGTAAAACCTTTACACAACTAAAACCTTTAAACATGAGATTGTCAAAAGCAACAGCAGCTTCACATTTCAATAACACTGAGAAGCAGCCACTTTTGTAAGCATACCCGAGAAATCAGCTGCGCTTGCATCACCAGGTATATCTCTAAGCTTTCTTCCTTTCGTATGAAGTCTCTTGTAAAAAGAGAAGGAGCATGTTTTAGATATAATAGGTTTTGAAATGATGGTCAGCATGTTTGTTCTTTATAGGATAAGTACCATAAAGTTTGCACCCTTCAGTATAAGAAAAGGTAGCCTGTGTATAGAATATCCGTCTAATGCTGGGAAAAATTTCATTGACGGTTGGTTACCATTTACTCTTTTTACTTTGTGCAAAGTGAAGCAAAGTGTTTGTTAGTTATGTTGCCTACGGTTGATAAGGCTACTACTGCTCAAGGTCTCTGCCACTGTACGTGCTACGAATGGAGAAGAAGAAATGGATACTGCTGGGTTGTTGTGGTACTTGATGCAGTAGTGTAATTACCAGTTGGAGTTTTTCTGGAAACCAGTTGACCGGTTGAGTTACTTGTCTGCTGAAAAGAAGAAGAAGAACACTGCTGCTACTCTTTCTTTTTATTTCTCAGAGGCTGTGAAAAAAAAAAGATAGATGAATTGTGGATGATGGGTCTGTTCGATTTTTGGAAATGGAGACTAAGAGGTCTTTGGATATGGAAGAGGATGATGGCTTTCTCAGTGATCTCTGGTTGTTGTTCTTGGATGGAACAGGGGGGATGAGGTTGTTTGATTGCTGTGTGCTTTTCGATATGGAGCAGAGGAGGTGATAGTGTTCGCGGCTGGAACAGGGAGGATTCCGGTCTCCTCTCCGTTCTTTCTTCAACATGTCTCTGCTACTTTTATTTATAGGGGATCCCTAGAGAGGTATCAACTCTCCTCTTCGTTTCAATCCTCACCATTCAACCCCCTTCTGATCAATCCTTTCCCTTCATAACAAACCAACAAACCTTGTACCCTCCCATCAGGCTGTCGAAGGCTGACTGAGTTAAGGGCCTTGAACTTTCATTGCAGTGGCTCTCAGGTGACAACTCGACAGGAACCATGCTGGAGTCATAGTACGACGTAAGGTCTACCTGAGAAGTGTCCCTTTTTGTCTTAACTCATGCGTGGGAGGCGTTTAATGGCTCTGCAAAAGGATCTCTCGCCAGCTTTCTTCATGGGAACAATGAGGAAGAAAATGAATAGTGACGCCAAACAGAGCCGTTTTGTTCATTTCTTTCCTTATTTTCAGGATGGTCCCGATCGTTTGACTTTCGTTAAGCTCAATTGATTTTCCTAAATTTCTTTTTCAATTGAGTCCCTGGTCATGTTGATTTAGACCCTTATGTTTTGGCATATTGTTCAATATGGTACCTCCTCTCTCTTCATTTTTTTTAATTTTATCTTTAAATTTTCTTTATTTATTTAATCTTTTTATAGCCTAATTCCGTGATATGAAGTTTTAAATTGTGGTAGAAAAATAAAATTAAAAGATAGAAGATTGTAATGTAAAACATAAAGAAATGTAAAACAGAAAGAAAATGTAAAACAGAAAGAAAATGCGTGGTTAGTTTCAAAATTGTTAGATTTTTTATAAATGCGTGGTTAGTTTCAAAATTGCTAGATTTTTTATATTGATCCAAAAGCTCGTTTTATTTATTTTTCAATTAATCCAAAAGCTCGTTTTATTTATTTTTCAATCCCTAAATTTAAAATAGGAGAGAGAAGGTCACTCAGAAGTAACGAATGAGAAAGAAAATAGTCATTTAATTATATTTTGACAATAAAAATGATCAATCTTCGGGTCATGACTTTCATTTAATAAAAAGGATATGATGATAATAGTTTTTTCTCTTAGAATTTTTATTGGTTAATTTTTTTTTTATTTTTTTAATGATTTTGAATGTTTACAAGTAATTTATAATAGATTTTATAATATTTTCATGTAGTATGACTTAAAATTTGAGTTTTGGAGTGCAAAACTTGAATTCTAATTTTTTAATTACTAGAGGTGATTGCGTTATAGTAGGTGATAGGTCCTCAACTACAATAAGTGATTTGCCTCCTGATATTTTTTTTTAAATAGACAAATTCAATAGCCATTTAAAAAAAAATTAAGGGTAGGGCTTCTTTTTATATTAATTAATATCTTTGATCCTTTTAAGTATTAATTAATACCCTCTCTTTATATTTTTTTTTTATGTATCTTTTACTTTGTTCTATTATTTATTTAAATTTTAATCAATATCTTATATTTAAAAAAATTCACTTTTCTTAAATAGTAATTTTTTAAAATTCTTTTGTATTTTTTATAATGTTTCAAAGAAATTATTTTGATTTATTTTTAAAAAATTTTCTTATAATATTTGATATAATTTATTTGTATTCACATGAAGCATTTATAAAAATAAAAACTAGTTGCTTATGATAAGAAAAATGACATCTTAGGTTAAAAAAAAACATATAAATTAAAAAAAAATCTTGGTTAAATATTTACACTCATATATCTTTGGTTTTTAAAAGAAAGATTGGTTTTCTATTTTAGCTTATATATAAAATTGATAATTCTTTCTCAATTTATCAAATAATTATTAAAAAAAATTTAAATTAATACCCTCTCTTTGATTTTTTTTTAAATAATTTTTTAGAGATTATTTTATTCTTTTATATTTGGTATAAATAGAATTTATTTGCATGACAAATTTATAAAAATAAAAAGTATTTTTTTTAAGAAAAAACAACTTCTAAAATATTTGTGCGCGCTAAATTATCTTTTGAATATTTGCACGCTCAACTATCTTTTGCTTTTGACAAGAAAAAACTTTCATTCAAATATTTAATTCACACTAACAATTTTTTTTTTTTACAATTTATCAATTTTTAAAAAATAATGATACAATAAAATATATCCATAATATTATCACATTTTTTTTATCACCACGATAAAAATCGACTTCAAATCCTACTCACAATGCAAATACATGTTTGCATTTCTAAATAAAAATAAAAATGATGATATTTTAAAAGGCATCAACACCGTTAACACATTCCTCTATTATACTTGAGATTCTACAGTAGAAACCAGTTCTCTCCTACACTCAACGCCGTGGAAAGGTGACAAAATAAATGAAGATCAACAGAAACGGTCAGGAAATAACAACTAACATGCAGATAACAATTTCCAAACGAAAATAAAATCTAACAAACGATTACCTTCTAGATCTTCGAGTGTCTGATACAATTATCCATTGAGGGGGAAAACGGCGATCAGCCATCTCAGTTTTGCATCGTATAGCAGCAACTAATACAACCTCCCAGCAAAGTAACTAAGATGCTACGAGCATAAATATAACTTGCCTAAGAATCTAGCCATGGATGTCTTCCTTGGTTCGAGAATTCCAAAAATACCAACCCAAGCCATCAACTAGACAAAACAACCAACTTATTCTTACAACACTTCTGACATCCGAGTTACTAACCTTATCTGCTAAAGTGATTGACATGAATTCCACTAGCTACACCTCTGCAGGTTCTGGCCTTTCCAAATTTGTTGCCAGAGGTTCTGGGCTATCCAAATTTCTTGCCACACACTTACATATAGGCAAGTTCTCATTCTTACTCAGAAGCTTCAACGATGGATGAACCTCAATATCACGCACGTATGCTCTATCTTCAATATCTAGATTGCTTACATCCACCTCAATTTTTTGAGGAATTTGTTCAGCTGGGCAAATATATTTTAATGTACTTCTGATCATCTTCAGATGGCCTCCTGTTTTGGCATTGGAGTAAAGTGGGAAACACAAATACACCATCAGATATTTTTACAACTTTGGAACAAGTTTTTAGCAAGGAAAAATGATGATTTTGACAGAAATTTACAGGTATAGTTGATATTTCCGAAATGTTTTTGTCTGAAACTTATTACCACACCTTTATCATGCCATTTGCATTTCTTTTTCCTTACCTAGCAAAGAAACATTATTTCTCAATTATGTGGTAAATCAATGGGCACCAGTGTGCTATTCTAATCAATGCTAGTAGTTGGTTACTCCAGTGTTGTATTCTAATCACTAGATTGGAGAGAGAACTAAGCCATATGCAACAGAGTGGACTTACTTTTGGAAGAGAGTTAATGGCACATCTACCGCAGAGATGGTTAACAGATACAATTTCAGGAAGCTAAAGTTAGGGCATCATCCCTGTCATAATGATGAAGGCATGTTGATCAAAGGGAAGGTGTTCTTTATAGTTGTATGGGTTCTAGTTTGTAGTTTATCTAGTCTAATTAAGACTTGATGCTCTATCATGTCATCACTGTATTTATAACTTTTCCTGGAATGAACCTTGCCATATGCTTAAAATGATTGTCTTAATCCATCAGAATCAGGACTAGTTACATGAACTTCCGTAGAAAGATGTGGCAAAGGATTGCGACGTAAAAGACTAAACTGTCAAACACCGATGACAATTTTACATAACAAAGTAAAAAAATGAAAGAAGCCCAGTCTAAGATAGTAATCTGAGAGAACCATGACCATCAACAGCACACCTAAAATCCTACAAATTTTGAAGAAACTTGCATGCTAAATAGCCTACAAGTGCCAGCATGAGGGAAAAAAAACCCTAAAAGCCTTGAAAATTTATAGATCGTTCGCTTCTACCCTAGCATTTACCCATTAAAGAAAGAGAAAACAATGTATCATCCCCCCACAGACCAAATCATGTTATAAAGCCACATACTTGTCACAATTCATCACTTCAATCATCTGAAAACCCCACAAAATACACACACACACACACACACACACACACACACACACACACACACACACACACACACACACACATATACACACATATATAAATGAATTGGACAAAAGAAAAATCTACCTTTCTTAAGACCAGGACAATTTTCTTCTCCTTTGAAAACAACAGGCACGTCAACTTTCAGTTCCGTTCCCTTATCAGCCCAGACAAACACCAAATTCAATATCTTCCCTGTCTTTTCAGACCTATGTATCTATAATACAATCCAAAAAAAAAAACATAAAACCAAACACACTATTAATAAAAAAACACAAACCTCAAATTCTCAAGATTGAAAAGTAAGAAAAAAAGGAACGTGACTTGCCTTAATGGGCAATACAGTTCCGGATTCAAGCAACACCGAGGACCCAGACCCAGCTCGGATCTGAAGAGGGAAAGTAGTGGAGCAAAAGAAAGGGAGTTGTACGGACTTAAGAATGGCTTGAATCTGTTTTTTCTCAGTAGTCAGTAGTCTCTTTCTTGAGGTCAATCCGTTTGATGGGTTTTTATCAAGAAGACTTTGAGGAAAAACAACAGCAGGGATTCTGCCTTGCTCTCTTTCTCTAGCTGAGACTCTTCTGCCTGCAACCTCTCGAGGTATTGCTTGGATTGTGTGGTAACGTGAAGATTGAGAGTGAAATGGCTGCGGTGGTTGTGGGTATTGAATTGCCGTCCTTAGGCCGCGCCACCACTTGGCCATTTTTTTTTTATCAAAAGGGTATGCTTAAGCCTTGAGGGGTTTTGCCTTTTACGTGGCAGATTTAGGGGTTTGAGGTGTGGGGTTTTGGGGCTTGATTTGAGTGTAATATTATTATTATTATCGAACTTGGGCCTTTTCAAGCACATTTTTCATTATTAACGAGCTAAGAGTAACCTCAGATGTCTTCGTTTTTGGTTAAAACTAAATTGCTCAAAATTTATGGTGCGAATCACTCCTCTGAATACTTCTTATTTTAGCGTAATGTCACGATTATCCATGTACGCCTTTTCTTCTTTTCTTTTTTTTTTATGAATTTAACCCTTGTTAATTTTTATTTTTATTTTTAATGAATTTTATACTTTTGCTACTGTTCAATTAAGGTTTTCAACTAGTTTATACAATACATTAAAACATGTTTTTTTAATGAATTTTATCCTTTTGCTATTGTTCAATTAAGATTTTTACTATTATTTCACCTAGTTATACAATACATTAAAACATGTTTCACGGTATCAATCCATAATGAAATCTTATTTTGATCTTATTTACTCAATTGTTGGTTTTATTTTTTTTTTATTTTTTTTCAATTAATAATTTTTTAATTTTATTAGTTATTATTAGATTTATTTTTCATTGAATTATTCTATTCTCACACGGATCATAAATTTGACAAATTAACTGGTTAGCTTGAGTTTTATTTTAATTATTTTTTTAATTTTTTAATTTAATATTGACTTAATTAGAATTATATTTCATAATTTGTTTTGTTTATTTTTTATTAGGTTATTGCACCCTTTTGACCTAAAAATAGTACTTAACATGTTAACCTTAAGTGACTCATGTTGTTTTTTATATTTTTTTAATTATTCAATATTAGATTAGTTGAGAATTGAGTTTCACAATCTGTTTTGATTTGCTTCTATAGAAAAATTTTGATCTCATTACTAGAGATGCAGATTTTGGCATTTTAATCCTAGTTAAATCATGTTATTTTTTTTAATTTTATTTCTAAGAGATTATTTCGGTCTCATGACTCGGGATATAGATCCTTTAATATTGAATTTGCTTTTTATTAGATTATCCACATCTTAGGACCTAGGTCTTGGGTTTTATTGGGAATTAAACTTCATGATTTCTATAAAATTATCCATGTCTCAGTCTCGTGACCCAAGTATAATTCTTAACGGGTTCACCCGAGTTGACTTACTTATTTTTATGTTATTTTTTTAATTAAAGGTTTTACAAATTTTATTATTCAACATTGAATTCAACAAGATTGATTGAGTATTGAACTTCATAATTTATTTTGATTTATTTTTTATGAGTTTATTTCAATCTCATGACTAGAGTTATGGATTTGGTGGGTTAAATTAAGTTTTTTTTTTAATTTTTTCAGTCTTTCTACGAGGATATCTCTGTCTAATGACTTAAATTATGAGTTTGACAGATTGAATTAGGTTATTTGTATGTTTTTTTAATTGATTAATTTTTTTAATTCATCCCTTAACATTGAGTTGATTATGAATCGATATTTATAATTTGTTTGCTATGGGGTTATCTCGATCTTATAACTCGAATTATGAGTTTGAAAGGTTAACTCGAGTTGCTTTTTCAGGTTCTTTTTTAATTTATTTTTTTAAATTTTATCTTTCAATATTTGGTTAATTGAGAATTACACTTCATAATTTATTTTCTATGGAGTTATTATAGTTTTATAGCCTGTGTCACAAACTTGACATTTTAACTTGGTTGACCTAAGTCAATCTAATATGTTGTTATTTTAATAAAAAAATATATTATTTTGAATTTTTTTTCTAATTCAAACTATGTTTTCATAGATTGTCCAAGTTGCTTTTGAACCTGCAAAAACAAATGAATCAATTCTCATGTGATTTAAATTTTTTTACTAGAAAAAAATTAAAAAAATAATAACATTTAAATATTTCTTTTTATATTCAAGAAAATTTTGACCCAACCCACATCATAATGTGATTTAATAATCTAGTCATATACCACGCAACGTGATGATAATACAATTTTAGTTATAAGATTATTTATATATAATCAAGTACTTAATATTTTGTGCATATTATCACAATCTTATATGTATGTTATTGTAGTCATTATAATTATGTGTATTTGAATAGAAATATTAATAAATTGTATACCTATAAACATGTTAATATAAATTCTTTTATAATTTTTGGAGTGTTTTCTTTTCAATAAATTTTAAAATTTCTTTTTTATTGATAGGAATTGAATTTAGAAAATTGCTATCCTAATACTAAAATCTAAGGGTGATAATTGTTTTTTTTAATTATATGATATATTTGAATTTCTCAATGGATATCGATTTAAAATTTTAATTATTTTTGATTTATTAAAGAAATATTATTGTTTCATTTATTTTTTTGATTTTATTAAAAAATAAATTAGTTGAGAAATAATAAAAAAAAATCAAATAATACTATATAAACATTTAAACAACTCGAAGGATATGAGTTAATCTAACATAAATGTTAAGTTTTTTTTTTCTACTTTTATGTCTTATAAAAAAAATATTCAATATGTATCTTAAAATAAATCTTATGATTGAGTTTTTTATTGGTTTAAGAAAAAAGGGTTTATGATAAACTAATGTTAAGAAATTGTGATTAAAAATATTTAATTAAAAGACTTTCCTTAAATTTCTCTTTTGTTTAACCTGATATCAATATTTTAATAGACTGAATATTCCATTCTTATCTACATGTGTGGCAAGATGGGCCTAGCATGTGTTTAATAATTTTAGAAGATGTCAAAATTTTATTGGTTAAAACTTAAATATATTCACACAATCCATATATTATAACCAAATGTAACCATGACACCATTTTTAATTGCATTTATTTTAAGAATCTTAAATGCAGTAAAAGAGGATAGAAAATTGTATATTTAGCAAAAAAAAAAAAAAAAGTTAACGAGATGTCCAATTTTGGTGCATTCAAGGAGAATGATATAGTTTTATTATATAAAATTGAATGATATATGTCTTTTTTTTCCCTTGATTACCTCAGTGTGAGGTGCAAGTAGACTTGTAAATATAAATAAGTTGTAAAAAATATTAAATATTATTTTAGAAAAATTATTGGCGTGTGCATGACATGTGTCAACATATGAGAAGGACTTACTTTATTTGAGCGGCGCATGCAATGCTTCTTGATGACAAAAAAAAAAAAATATTATGTCATCCAACACGTTGAGTGGCGACGCATCCAAGAGGGAGGCATGTGTAAGGTATTTCGTGGTGGATGTTTTTTTCTCCTCCCTCTTTACTATTACCTTTCCTCGATAGTCATGTAGGCCCAGAAAACATTAAACTTTGTCCTCTTATCTTGTCTTTATTTCAATTGTAGTCCTCATTCTTTTGATTTTTTTTATTTGTTTTGAATATTATTTTTTTAATTTCATCCATTAGCATTTGATTCTATTTAATTTTTATATCAAATTTGATTTTTATTTTTTTGATTGCTATTTTTTTATATTCTTTTCTTGATTAATTTTTTTTTAGTTTCATGCCACATCATTTTATTTCATTTTATTTATATGTTAGATCAACCCAGCACAAAAAATAAAAATATTTGCTTTCTTTTTCCCTTATCTTTTATTTTTTGTATTTTACTTTATTTTTCTCCTTCCCCTATATTTCTTTTCTTTTATTTCAATATTGAGGACAATGTTATGTTTTAAGTGTGGGGGTACTAGGAGAATGTTGGTTTTCTTATTTTGGTTTTTTTGTTGTTCCAAAAATAAACAAATTTCTATGTTTGATCTTTTGAACTCCTGTTGGTTTACGAGAATGTGAGTATTGCATATGAGAATTAATTGAGATAGATGGAGATATGAATTGAATGAAAGAGTGTGCATGCAAGTTTTAAGATTTAATTTGTTTAGGGATTGACTTTGAGAATATGTCATGTTGCCTTTGTTGGTTTATGAGAATGTGAGTATTGCATATGAGAATTAATTGAGATAGATGGAGATATGAATTGAATGAAAGAGTGTGTATACAAGTTTTAAGGTTTAATTGGTTTAGGGATTGACTTTGAAAATATGTCATGTTGACTTTATAGTATTATACCAATGCAAGTTTTTAAGCCTTCAACATTATATTCTTTGATTGTGTATTTTTTCAATGATAAGTATCTCTAGAACTTGCTTCAAGTCTTGTTGAGATTATATTTGCATTACACATATACATGAAGATGATAAAGGCATTAAGAATTTTAACCACTTGAACCAATAAACCAACCTAAATCATATTATCCTTAGTGAGTCCCTTTTGAGCTTGTTTATCTTTTCTTTGCTTTATGCATATATAAGTCTTAATTTTATATATGTTTTCCTTTTCCCCTAGCCAAATAAGTCTTAATTTTATATATGTTTTTCTTTTCCCCTAACCAAGAATTAGTAGAGCATATACTTGTAATATTTCATGGAATTATGGTTGGAAATTATGTGATAAGAAAGAAGATGTGATGTTTGATGAAAAGATAGGCGAAATTGCAAAAAAGAAAAAGACAAAAGAAAAAAAAATATTCTTTTATGTTTTTAAGATTTTATGTTGATAAGAAAGAAGATGTGATGTTTGATGAAAAGATTGGCGAAATTGCGAAAAAGAAAAAGACAAAAGAAAAGGAAAAGGAAAAAAAAGAAAAAAGAATATTCTTTTATGTTTTTAAGATTTTATATTGAAAAATCTTGAAATAAAAAGAAGTTAAGTATTGGTGATTAAAGATGAAAAATTTATATGCTTTGATTGAATACCTTATTTGAAATATTATTTTTTAAAATGCTCTACTTTCTTTGGTTTAGAATACCTTATTTGAAATATTAATTTTTAAAATGCTCTACTTTCTTTGGTTTGAACCTTTTCTTTTACTTTCTTTTACCTCAGCTTAACCTTAACCCCATTACAACCGAAAAATAAGAGCTTTTGATTCATGCATTGTTTGTAATATGTTAGTAATGGAGATGAGATTCAAGAGCAAGTTTATGGTAGAACATATTCATTAATTGAATTTGAGAGATTTAAAGACATAAGCCTTAAACACGT